GCTTGAACTGAGAGACCAGAGATGATACAAAATAAAAAGAGGCCTTCAGAGTCCAAAAATTTTGGCAGGAAGTAAGCTAAGAAAACTCAGTAACAAACATGTTCTACCTTTAATGGAAAAGGAAAAGCTGAATAGAAGGTAGAACCAAATGCACAAAGGGCAAAGCTGAGAGCCTTTGGTGAATTATCTCCAGGAAATGATGCTTAACCAAGAAACTACCATCAGTTGCCTGACTGGATTTCAGAAATGCTATATACCAGTAGGCACAGTACCCTTGTGCCTCCTGCCCCCCCCCTACCTTCTGTCTTCCTTTGAATAGGAATGTTTTATAACAATTATCCTTTCACCGATACAGCTCCTAGGGCATTGGAAACTAAAGAGGAAATAAACAAATGGGACTACATCAAAATAAAAAGCTTCTGCACAGCAAAAGAAACCATCAACAAAACAACAAGAAAGCCCAGTGCATGGGAAAACGTATTTGCCAATGTTATCACCGATACGGGTTTAATCTCCAACATTTATAGGGAACTCATACAACTTAACAAAAGGAAGATAAACAATCCAATCAAAAAATGGGCAAAGGACCTAAATAGACACTTTTCAAAAGAGGACATTCAGAAAGCCAAGAGACATATGAAAACATGCTCAAAGTCACTAATCATCCGAGAAATGCAAATCAAAACAACAATGAGGTACCATCTCACACCTGTCAGAATGGCTATCATCAACAAATCAACAAACGACAAGTGCTGGAGAGGATGTGGAGAAAAAGGAACACTTGTGCACTGCTGGTGGGAATGCAGACTGGTGCAGCCACTATGGAAGACAGTATGGAGTTTCCTCAAAAAACAAAACATGGAACTCCCATTTGACCCTGTGATCCCACTTCTAGGAATATATCCCAAGAAACCAAAAACACCAATCAGAAAGGATATATGCACCCATATGTTCATAGCAGCACAATTCACCATAGCTAAGATCTGGAAACAGCCTAAGTGCCCATCAGTAGATGAATGGATTAGAAAACTGTGGTACATCTACACGATGGAATACTATGCTGCTGTAAAAAAGAAGGAACTCTTACAATTTGCAACGGCATGGATGGAGCTGGAGAGCATTATGCTAAGTGAAATAAGCCAGTCAATGAAGGAAAAATACCACATGATCTCACTCATTCATGGATAATAAAGACCATTACAAACTTTTGAACAATAATAGATACAGAGGCAGAGCTGCCTCAAACTGATTGTCAAACTGCAGTGGGAAGGCCAGAGAGGGTTGGGGGGCAGGGAAAAAAGGAGACATATGTAATACTCTTTGTAATACTTTAAACAATAAAACAATTAAAAAAAAAACAATTATCCTAAGCCTAACCTAATATTATATATACTGAGTATGTGAGGGGAGATGGGCAGATACCTCTCTTTGGGTTCTTAGGTTGAGAGGAATTTATATTTAAGAAGCTGTACTTACTGAACTACATCTGAGAAGCCTCATTGTACCTGAATCCAATTTGGATATTCTGGACTGTGACCTGATACTGTAATGGGATGAGACTTTGGTGGATTTGGGGAGGAAATATTTTCATATTTCCACATGAAAATATTCTGTATGTGGAGATTGTGGTAGCCAGCCTCCAATGATCCCTATCTCAAGGCATTCACTGCCTGTGTAGTTCCCTCCTACATTTTTACCAGGGTTGGTTTATATGACCAATAGCATATGACAGAAGTGAAGGTATGTAGCTTACAAAATCCTATATAAAAGGTTAATATGCAAACGACCAAACGGTGGAACGACAGGTAGCTATGACACGCACTGACCACTAGGGGGCAGATGCTCAAAGCAGGAGCTGCCCCCTGATGGTCAGTGTGCTCCCATAGAGGGAGCGCTGCTCAGCCAGAAGCCAGGCTCACAGCTGGCGAGTGCAGTGGCAGAGGCGGTGGCTGAAGCCTCTCCTGCCTCCACAGCAGCGCTAAGGATGTCCGACGGACGGCTTAGGCCCACTCCCCGGACTGCAAGAGGGTGCTGGTCAGGCTGAGGGACCCCCTCGAGTGCACGAATTTCGTACACCAGGCCTCTAATTAGGTCATAAAAGACGGTAGTTTCTGTCCTAAGTGCCCTCTCTTGTCTTCTGTATTACTCCCTTAGGGTGAAGCCTGCTGCTATGCTGTGATAACACTGATACAATAATGGAGAAGCTCATGAAGAAAGGCTTCCAGTCAAAAAGGAACTGAAGTTGCTAGCAATTATGTGATTGAGCTCAAGCCTTTAGAAGACTGCAGCCCTTAATACTTTGTGAAGGAACCTGGGCCACTCTAATCCAGATAAGCTGCTCTGAGACTCCCAGACCTCAGAAACTGTGTGACACAAGAAAATGTTTTTTGTCTTAAACTGCTAAATTTGAGAGTAAGTTGTTATGCAGCAATAAATAAGTAATACAGGGCTTAAGGAAAGTCAAGGGAAAGTTGGGATACAAAGGCCAAGGACATTAAAGCCCATTAAGAAGTTTTTGCATTTTATTCTCCCACAAAAATAAACAATTTAAGAATCTTTAGATATCAAAGTAATAACCAGACTCACATATTTAAAATAACACCCTGATAACTTTGAAGGGTTTAGAAATCTGAAAACTATGGAGTGGGGAGACCAGTTAAGAAGAAACTATAAACATTTCAGAATAAAGAGGGCATCCTAATCTTTTAACAGGAATTCATAGATCCAAATGCCTTGATTTACATCAAATTTCACCTACTGGGATATTCTATGGGATAGTCAAAAGTTATGTGGGTGATTCTTTGTTTTTGCAGGACAATCCTTTTCATGGTGGAACTTACACCGTTCCTGGCCCCAACAGTATCTTCCCTAAATTGTGACAATTAAAAGCATCCTCAAAGTTTCCAGAATGTCCTGAGAGTGACATTGGATTCAAGTACATTGAGCCTTCTCAGATGTAGTTCTGTAAGTACAGCTTCTCAAATACAAATTACTCTTAACCTAAGAACCTAAAGAGAGATATCTGCCCATCTCCCCTCACATACCCAGTATACAATGGTATAGTCTCTGTTGCTGTTGAGAACTACAGTAGAGGAGGGAGAGTTCGCAGAGATTCAATAGCAACCCCAAAGGTTCTGAAACAAGTATGCTGTATAAAGATCCTTCATTGTAAAGGCATTTATACAACTGTGCAGCAGGAGTGATACTCCTTGGAGTTCACAGAGCCACCAGTTTCTATCTAGTGGGGTTGAACTTCCTACAGGTACTATATCTCTAGCTGCAGGAATGGTCCAGTACAGTTCAGAATATCTGGTAGAAAGGTATCTTGAACTGTCTGTGCATCTGAGTTTGACTGGATAAACCCCATCATTCTTAATATCCATTACCAATAAAATTCAAGACTTAACTGCATCACCCTGGCTCTTATCACCATTCTCATCTCAATATTCCCAGTCTGATCCATTTTTCTCTTTCCTCACCTTCCCAAACTCTTCCATTCTGTTCTCTAGAATAAAGATATGATCAGTAAACTCCTCTTTATGGTCTCAACTTTTCTCTTTTTTCTAGATATGTTATTGCATTCTTTTTTTATTCTATTTTATTTAAAAGTCTTTATTGTTGAGAGTATTACAGATGTCCCTCTTTTTCCCCTCCAGTTCCTACCCTCTACCCAGTTCCTGCCCTGCCCCAGGTCTTCACCACCCTATTTATTGTCTGTGCTCATAGATAGTACTGTATAGGTATGCATATAAGATCTTTGCTTAATCTCTTCCCGCCCCCCCCCCTTCCCTCTGAGAATTGTAAGTATGTTCCATTTCCATACCTCTGATTCTATTTTATTCACCAGTTTATTCTGTTTATTAGATTTCTTAATAGTTTATTTTGGTTTTTAGATTCAATTGTTGATAGATATGTATTTATTGCAATTTTATTGTTCCTATTTTTGTTCTTCCTCCTCTTCTTAAAGAATACCCTTCAACTTTTCATGTAATACTGCTTTGTTGGTGATGAACTCCTTTAGCTTTTTCTTGTCTGTGAAGTTCTTTATCTAATCTTTAATTCTAAATGATAGCTTTGCTGGGTAATCTTGTTTGTTAAATCCTTGCTATTCATCACAGAATATTTCTTGCCACTCCCTTCTGGCCTGCATAGTTTCTGTTGAGAAATCAGCTGACAGTTGTATGGGCACTCCTTTGTAGGTAGTTAACTGCTTTTAAGATTCTGTCTTTGTCTTTAGCCGTTGGCATTTTGATTGTGATGTGTCTTGGTCTGGGCCTCTTTGGGTTCCTCTTGTTTGGGACTCTCTGCGTTTCTTTCACCAAGTAGGGTAAGTTTTCTGACATTTCTTCAAATAGGTTTCCAATATCTTGCTCTATTTCTTCTCCTTCTGTAACGCCCATAATGTGAACGTTGGTATACTTGAAGTTCTCCCAGAGGCTCATTATACTATCTTCCTATTTTTGGATTCTTTTTGCTCTTCTGCTTGGGTGTCTTTTGCTTCCTCATATTCCAAATCATTGATTTGATTCTTGGAATCTTCTACTGTTGAATCCCTGTAAATTATTCATTTCAGTTAGTGTATGCTTAATTTCTGACTGGTCCTTTTTCATGTCTTTGACATTCTCACTAATATCCTTTAAAGTCTCACTAAGTCTCTTGAAGGTCTCATGAAGACCCTTAAGTAAATGTATAGCTGTGGTTTTGAACTGTGTCAATTAATTTGCTTTCTTCCATTTGTGATATGTTTGTCTCCACATTTTGGCTGCTTCCCTGTGTTTGTTTCTATGTATTGGGTAGAGCTGCTATGTCTCCTGGAGTTGGTAGAGTGGCCTCGTGTAGCAGGCGTCCTGTAGGGCCCAGTGGCTCAGTCTCCCCAGTCACCTGAGCTGGGCACTCTAGGTGCACCTTTGTGGGCTGTGTGCACAGTCTTGTAGTTAAGGCTTGATTGCTGTTGGTGTCACTGGGAGGAATTGACATCCAGGCCAATTGGCTGGGAGGACCATCTGTGACTACAGTGGGAGAGCTGCTACGCAGGAGACACCCCTATGGAGCAGGACTTGCTTCAGTAGGGCTATGGTGCTCTCCGAGTCTGCCCCTTGAGTGTGTTGCTTGTGGATGTGTAGAGTTGTAATCTGCTATGGTCTGAAGCTGTCCACCAGGAGCACGGCTCTTGGTTTTCCAGGGAGGTGCAAAGTCAGCCACTGCTTGGTGCCACTCAGCAGGAGCTACGGAGAGATCTGCAGCTTCCTCCTATTTGTATCGGGTTTGAAAGTGCCCAGGCAAGGCCCAGCTGTGAAGCAAGGCAGGCTGGTGCTAGTGCTGAGTCTTGGGCCTTTGATAGGTTTGGGACACACTGTCACCAGCTGCAGCTTCTTTGAGAGAATTTTAGCTAAGTCTGAAGCCTGAGTAAGGACAGGCCATTCATATGGAAAAGCTGCTACTTGGGTAGTGCTGCAAACTGGATGGATCGGGGTCTCAGGGAATCACCAGGGTGGAACAGTGTGCTCCAGGTTGATGGGGACTGAGATATGGTTGCCAGTCAGCTCTGGGACAGGGGAGGTCTCAGCCTAGGAACAATGACCCCTGCAAGCACCTCTGTCTGGTAGAAAGGGGCCCCCAAGTTCCTGCCCTAATGCCAGACAATCTAGTTTCTCCCAGATGTGTCTGGGCCCCCAATGCCTCTTGGCTCGCTGGAGCTCAGAGGAAGCAAGTCCGAATAAGTTTGGGCCCGGTCCTGTTAGAGGAACACCCGAGTCTCCAGCAGCTTCCCTGTCCTTTAGCCACAATCCCCACTGGTTTTTATAGCCCAAAGTTACAGGGACTTCTCTTCCCAGCTCTGGGGCCCTGGGTGGGGAATTAGGTGTGGAGCTGGGACCCCTTACTCCCCCTGGTGGCCTCAGTAGGAATAATCTCCCTCTGGATTTAAAAAAAAGCTCATGTGGGTGCCAGCCAAGCCCATTCCATGCTTCTGCCCCTCCTACCAGTCTCAATGTGCTTTCTTCTTTACTTCTTAGTTGTAGGACATCCATTTAGCCAGCTTTCAGGTGGTTCTGAATGATGGCTGTTCTGTATTTTAATTGTAATTTTGATGTGGTTGTGGGAGGCAGCAAGTACCAGCATTTACCTACACTGCCATCTTGGTTTCCCTCTCAACTTCTTTTAATATTCCCTCATTTTCTTGCCCGACCTGAAGCCTGTCAGTGTCTTCTAAAAACAGTACTCCCTATACTATAGCCCTTTTGAGCAGAAACCATTTATTTTCCCATGTCTCACATACTAACTGATGGGTTAAGTGTTTATCCTCTTGCTTCCCTTTCCATTGCTAGTTCTTTTATTGTTGTCCTTTCAAAAATCATAACCCTTCAGAAGTTCATACACCAGCCTCTCCCCCTAAAGTTGTCATATACACTCTCTTGGTCACAGAGCTCACAGTCTTTTCAACTACTACTACATTTCTGGTATCATTCTTAGTGGCAATATCTGTATGGATGATACATACATCTAGTACCATGACCTTCTCACCCACACTAATCTTTTCTCTTTTCTCTACCTCAGTCACCACTCCTGTGGTTATACTCTAGATCTTGTTTTCACTAATAATTGTGCCACCTCTAAAATCTAAATTCAAACATCTCATTCATTAACTACCCTCCCCATTTAGTTTCACCTAGTCCAACAAAGCTATTTCATAGAGTTCTCTGTTCCATTGAGTTCTACTACTTCCCCACTTTTCATCAGCTACCTGTTGTCTTTTTGCCCCTGCTTAGCCAGTTTAGATCCCAAGATCTATTATCATGATAATCTACCTCAATCTTCTTTTCCTTCTTCATATTTTCTGAGTAACCCTAGAAAAACATTATTATACTAGAGGCCCGGTGCACAAAAATTTGTGCACTCGGGAGGGGGGGGGGATGTCCCTCAGCCCGGCCTGTGCCCTCTCGCAGTCTGGGACCCCTCGGGGGATGACCACCTGCTGGCTTAGGCCTGCTCCCCGGGGGATTGGGCCTAAGAT